GGCCCTGAGCCCCCCTGGCTTTGAGGGAAGCTGCTCTGAGAAGCAGGAACCTGGGCTGCCGGGGGAAATGAAACAATACATTAAAGTGCTTTTCAGAGCTTGGTTATTTTTTTTGTGACAAAAGATCCCTATTTTCTATTAACCTTCCACCAAAAAAAGAAGAAATTCTTGGTGTTCTGGGCAGTTACAGAAATAGAGAACAATTTTACTCCTTCGTGCTGGGTGAGGACGAGGGGTCAGCGGGTGCTGGCTGGGTGGGGGGAAAGAGAAACTCGGGGCAGGTTTCCTTTCCAAAGAGAGCTGTGACTTCCAGGCAGAGCTGGCCGGGCATGCCCAGCCAGCCCCTGCACCCACCTCTATTTTCGTGTGCATTGAAAAAAAAAAAATGATGAGCAGTTTCAGGATGAATCAGCTAGGGTGAAAATAAGCTGTACCCAAAGCTCTCGCAGCATGTGGAGTGGCATTTCAGTTCCTTTGCCTGTTGGGTTTCTTCTTCTTTTTTTTAAAAAAAAATAATGTTTTGGCATAAGATGATTTTTGGCTTTCTAGGATGGATTTGGTTAATTCAGAAGGGGGGAAAAAAAAGGCTTCTATTTTGCTTAATATGCAATAATGATGAGAAAAATAACCCTGCTGAAGGGTGCTGCAGACAGCTGGCCAGAGGCTTGCTGGGAGCTGTCCCTGGGGGTGTGACATCCCTTGGGGGGCTGCTCAGCCCCCAGCTTGGCCCCTACTGCAGTCGTGGGGCCGGGCTGGAGCAGGGGCCACACTCTGGTGCCACCACTGAGCGTGTGGCAGGTCCTGGAGCCTCACCAGCCCCAGCACCCAGAAACGGTGCCTGGTTACCCATCAGAAGTTCTGACTGCAGGAAAAGGAACCAGCGCAGAGAGCTGAACGTTCTGCTGGCACCAGTGCCTTCTGCAGGGGGGCAGAGGGGAGGGGACTGGGCAGTGTCCCTGTCCCTCAGCCTCTGAGCTGCTCCAGTGCCCCCCAGCCCCACCATGGGGCCAGCTCTGCCACCCACTGCCAGGAGCAGAAGTGAAGCTGAAGCTGGGGGTGGCTGGGGTGACCCACGGGGAGCGTGTGGGGCCGTGAGTGGCCAAGGACATCTCTCCAACCCCTTTCCTGCCCTGCAGGTGTATCCATCCAACTCAGGTGATGACTACAGCAGGGATCCAGCTGGATATACTCCCTCCAAACCCTCCAGCACTGTGTATCCCGGGGCCTTTTATATGGCAGGTGAGTTGTTAACAATGCTGGTGTCCTGCAGGCCGGGCAGAGCAGGAGCTGCCTGGCCCATCAGGGGCCACGGGAGGCCTTGGCACAGCCTGTGGGACGGAGGGTTTTTTAGCCTGTGGGATGGAGGGAGCTCGGGGCAGACGCAACCCCTCAGCCCAGGCTGGCTTGCCCCGCTGTGGGCCGTGGGACATGTGCCAACATCTCTGCCCTGCTCAGCTCTGCTTTTCCTTCCAGACGGGCTCCACAACTCGCCAGACCTGTGGAGCTCACCAGGTGCCATGAGCCAGTCGAGTTACGGTGCCATGCTGGGCAGCTCCTCCTCCCCACTCCCACAGTCCAGTGGCTTCAACAGTTTACATCAGCACGAACGCATGGTAACACATTGTCCCCATCCTGTCCCCATCCCTGTCCCCATCCCTGTCCCCATCCTGTCCCCATCCTTGTCCCCATCCCTCTCCCCATCCCCACACTGCCCCATGGGGCTGGGGGGCTCCAGCAGCAGCGTCTCACCTCATCCTGTAGCTGGTGGCTCAGGGCAGCTGCAGGGGGGGAGGAGCTGGGTCCTGGCCTGGCCACCAGAGCCCCCGCAGCCTTTCGAGGACACTTCTCACTCCTCTCCCCCTCTCCACCAGAACTACCAGCTTCATTCAGGAGAGGTTAACGGCGGCCTCCCCTCTGTGTCTGGCTTCTCCTCGGCCTCCACGCCGTACGGCGTCTCCAGTCACACCCCCCCGATCAGCGGCACAGACACCATGATGGGTATGTACAGACCCTCCCTGCTGCCAGGCACAGGCTTCACCCGAAAATCTGAGCCCTGTGCAGAGCTCTGATGCCTGAGGCTCTGGCATCTGCATCCCACATACCCCGGGCACTTTTTGTCCCCTGTGTGTCACTCACTCGTGGAGTTGATGCGTGGGGAAGGAGCTCAGCAGAGTTACTGCTGCGGGGTACCTGGGGCACGGAGGGGCTGGCTGGGTGTTCACACCTCCCTTGGTGGATTTGGGAGACCAGGATCTGTGGCATTACCTCTTGGAGGTGCCGTGGTTTGCAGGAGCTGCGGGAAGGGTTTGCACCTGCATTGAGGGGAGGTGGGGGTGTGTGTGAAGGTGTTGGTCTAAATCGGGAAGGGGAATGTTTGTACCACATTTGGATACCACCTTCAACCCCTCAGCACTTTGATCTCTAACTCTGCTGAACTCGTTACAACACCTGCTACTTGGAATGAACTCACGTTCCCCAGGAAATGAGGATCCTGACCTTGATTCATAGAAAACCCCTTTTTTTAGAGGAGGGGAAGGAAGTTTGGGATTGTAGGGGCTTAAGATGCCTGTCCGAATGGACTGTGCTGCAGCAGAGACATTTGGTTGCTGTTGATGTCATGACACCTTCAGCACAGTGTCTTAGAAGGACCTTCCTGCAGCCCCACGGATGCTGCTGGGGGTGTGTGCCCTCGCTGGGGCTGTTCCAAGCTGAGCATCCAGTTAACTCTCAAGCAAAGTGGTAGGAGCAAGAAATTCCAGTCTTGGAGCAGGTGACCCCAGAGGCCTTGCACGGGATCCTTGTCCTGCTGGGTTCCAGGGGCCCTGGCAGTGAGCTCTGTGTCCTCTCTCAGCAGGGAGCCTTGTCCTGCTGGGTTCCAGGGGCCCTGGCAGTGAGCTCTGTGCCCTCTCTGAGCGGGGCACATTGTCCTCCTGGGGCCTTGTCCTGCTGGGTTCCAGGGGCCCTGGCAGTGAGCTCTGTGTCCTCTCTCGGCAGGGAGCCTTGTCCTGCTGGGTTCCAGGGGCCCTGGCAGTGAGCTGTGTCCTCTCTTGGCAGGTAACAGAGGAACCACGGCTGGGAGCTCGGGAGACGCGCTCGGGAAGGCACTAGCTTCAGTAAGACTTTCTGCAGACCCTTGGCCCCATCATGTTGCAGTGCTGGACCCCCCCCTAGAGCAGGGACCTTCTAGGCAGCAGGGAGGGGGGACCATTGAGAAGTGAATGCACCCCAAAACCACGGCAGCCCCTGAGAGAAGGGTTTTCCCCCGCTGTGTGCTGCTGTACTGAGTCCTCATGCTGTGCAAAAAGCACCTTTGGGTAGATGGGGAGACTCAGGCACTAATTTTAGGGTGGTCCCACAGACACGTGCCCATCAGCCAGCTCTGTAGCTGCCCAGCCTGGCACTGGCATGGCAAGATGACCTTGCGTGGCACTCACAGCAGGACTCGCAGGTCCCGGTGGTCGTGGCCCTGGATATGCTGGTTCAGACTGCAGGGCACTGGTCCCACTGGGCTGTCAGAGCCTGGGGCTCCCTCTGTCTCCTTTCCCTCTGCGTGGTGGCAGCAGGGTGCCAGCTCTGCATCCTGCACGCATTTCTTGAGGCTCTTGCTTTGCTCTGAGGTGGGACCTGGAGAGCAGAGGCCGCAGCTGTCGAGGTGGTGGCAGTGGGGACAGAGGGACACCAGCGTCAGGGGGAGGACAGCTGGGCTGGGCCATCCTGCTGGCTGGGAGCTGGCAAGGGAAGGGGGGTGCCACAGGGTGGTGTTGGTGGGGGGTCCTGCCCGGGGAGGGGGAGGGCACCTCAGGGGTGGGTGCTGCTGACCGTGCCCCGCTTCTCTCGCTCCAGATTTATTCCCCCGATCACTCTAGCAATAACTTCTCCTCAAACCCCTCCACACCAGTCGGCTCCCCTCAGGGGCTTGCAGGTAGGTGAACGTTGCTCCTCACATCAGGGGGGATGCTGGGTTTGCTTGCAGGGGGTGCGAGGTGGCGTATGCCCCAGGTCAGCTCCAGACACCCAGTAAGGCCCTTTTGGCCATCTCGCCAAATCCCAGTTATTTTTAAAAGCAGGGGAGAGAAGAGGAAGGACAAAGCAAAGGTGGAGATCCTCTCGAAGGACCCGCTGTGGAGCTGGGTGTCTCTGCTCCAGCTGCTGCAGTGGGGAAGTTGGTGCCTCTGCCCCAGCTGAGCCTGGCACACGGGGCAGCGTCACCACGGGCTCGAGTTTGGGTGTCACTGCCCCCCACCCAGGACCTGCTCCTGTCCCCGAGCGTCCCGTCCTGCAGGGGCTGGGAGAGTGTGTCCCTGGCTTTGGGTG